TGTGTCTGTTGCTGCAGCAATGGCAGCCGCAGCATCTTCGAATCAGCTGGGGATACGTCCTCTAGGCCCAACCTCCCACCCTCACCCACATCACCACCTCCTACAGGGAACACCCCTCAGCCTGCTGAGGCCCGCCCCAGGGCCCATTCGGACCACACATGGGCCTATCCTCTTCACTCCTTATTGATGGTGAGAGAACAGGGACGAATAAAGAAGGAGCACATTGTGAAGTGGAGGCCTGCAACCAAGTGCCGTCAAGAGCCAAATGGGCTGGCATGACTCCAGCTGATGTTTCATTATAATAAAACCAGTGAAGATAAATAGAACTCTTCATGGTGTATATGGTAGTTGCAGACCACTGCAGTTGCATTAACAGGGAGAACCAGAGATAAGTGACAAAGGTCAGACTTTTCAAAATGACTGTATGGTTAAGTCCCAATTCCCTTAACTGCAGTCTTTTCCTGACATCTTAGTCCCGCCCACATAAGATGTGAGGGAAAAAATGCAAGGAGAGAGGAATCAAGGAGAACCATTTTATGTGACATGAGATGCCCTTTCCTCAGAGCCTTCATCTGAAGTGTCCAATCATTAACTAATTTCCAATAAACGGTTGTGTCAGCCTATAAAAGACTTCTGTGAAGTATGGTCTCTGGTCATCCTCACTTATGTCTCTTCCAGCCATCTCCCCGCTCCTCAATCCTCGCTACTCAGAGCTAAAAGCTTTGAGGTGTCATTCATGATGGCGGACTGTAACAAATTCAGGCGGGGATTGAGGAACAGTCAGTCAAGGGAACTGGGATTTACCCAATGTTTCCATCTGTCACGGTTTCACTTAACTATCTGTCAATCATCAGACTGACTGCATAGTTTGAAGAGGAAACAAGTTTCTATCGAGCATTGTCTGAGCATCCTCCCATCTGCAAGTGACTAAATAACCCTACCTCTCCTACGTTCTTAATGTTCATCCCTACAAGGATTTATTACATATCCAAAGTGTTAATGTTATCAAAAACTTGTCCACTGGGTTAGACATAGTAGTTGCCTGTGATGTTAGCTAGTATCATACTATAGCTGTCACAGTATAGTGGGTTGTACCACTGTAGAGTTCTGTTTTTGTGGCCTGTAAAGAGAAAAGGGTACCAACCATTTCTGCAGTTACTGGAAACTATTTCTCTGCACTGTAGGTCTGCATTTTCACAGCCTGCCTATATGGTCTACATTTACCCTTGTGGGCTAGAAACAGGAAGTCAAAGAGGAACAGCAAAAGGGTATAAATTACATTTTCACACTGTTGATGTGCATATTAGTTTCTACACTATGCAGTTATCAGTGTTCATTCTCACTGTCTGCGTAAAATGCAGTAAGGTTAGAGAGAAAGAGAAAAAAAAATGAGAGCCCATGATAAGTTAGTTGTAATGTTCAGTTAAATAGCTTGCCCATTTGATCCCTAGATTGTCCTTGAAAGGCCACTAATCAAACAAGTGGACCAAAGTCTCACAAAACACAAAAAATCTGCAGTAAGAAGTCTACGCATGGCTTCATCCTCTATCTCCACCTCACTGAAAGGATTCAGTGTCTTAATGGAATAGTTGCAACACTGTGAGCACAACAGGAAAATGACTTGATCAGTGACTTTAGTAGCAGGTATTTGCATTATGTGCACATTTAATTATACAACCCCGGGTGTATGAAAACAGTGGGATGAAAGATACCAGCATTATATTACAGAAAGAAAGGACCACATACATACGAGTAGTTGTATGCACAAAATTAATTAAAAAAAAACACATATACACCGTTTTTGATAGTATTATAGGCCTGTAGTGGGGTAAAAATGTTTAGTTTGTCTGCTCTGCCGTGTGTGCTCTGAACCCTACATGACACTGAAATACCCCAGTGAAAACTGTCATGATGGCTTGTGAAACATTAGAAGGAAGCTTGAGGAAATGGAAACTGTAGCAATACTTTAAGCAATCCTAACTTTTTTGTTAAATGCAATAAAAAAGGAAATGTCTACAAATGTATTCAATGTTATTTAGAAAAAGTGTACTGAAGCATTGCTGTAAATGTAGATTATTTAAAAAAGTGAAAAAGTACATGTTGGGGCTTCCTCATTGTTAAATTAAAACAAAATTACAGTCTATTAAATCATTAAACTAAGTTTATGGTTATAAACAGTGTTCACTAGTGAATTCTTTACCTTTATTATTCAAATATATGTTTAATGTTTGACAGTAGCAATAATTCACAAATGCTTTTGATTGTATCCACTATTTATTACCTTATTGATATTATGACCCTTAGTCAAAATATCAATATACTGTGCAATGTCCAAACTATTTATATGTTGGCATACAGAACATTCCTTATGGTAAAACAATGAATAACTTCATTAAAACAAACCCACACCTCGCCATTCAAACTACACAAGTTTGTGCAGTGGGACAACAAACAAAGAAATGAAATCAAAGAACACACTGTCTGCAGAGGCATTGTTAAAAAAAGGGATGCATATGAAACCACCTGTCATCAGGAAGCTTGACAGTCAGAGCACTTCAGAGAATAACACATGCTATACATAAACATATGAAAAGCCTGTAGACGTCATCAACTTTAAGGTAAGAAACTGAAAAATTCACACTTCTTTGATCACTTATCTGACCAAATGATTACATTTAAACTGACAGAAGAAGTAGAGTCGCATGCAGGGATTGCCATTGTTTAGGTTTTAAACTGTTGGTCAGTCAAAAAATAAAATTAAAGACATTTCTGTGGGCTCTTAGCACTTGTAATGGGCTTTTTCACTATTTTTGACACTCACTAAATAATTTACTTAAAAAAGCATAATGGAAAATAATCATTAGTTACAGTTCTTTAAATATGTATAGTACCGTGACATTTGTTCCTAACTGAGAATATTCAGACGTAATCTACTTTGTGAGCAGCACTATGTACTAAGGGCAGCATCTAGCCCGAATTATTAGGAGAGTAGATGAATGGTTGTGTTGGATGTGTGGGTGCAGGCAAAGAGGGGGGTGGTTCTGGGATGCCGGAACATAATGTTGAGCGTTCTCAGTGTTGTGGGCCCAACCTAACAAAACACAAGTTAGTGAGAGGGTGCCCACCTGATGACCCTGTAGACTTGCATTCACTCCTATACCCACACAGAACTTATACTTGTGTAGGTGATAATATAGTTACAAACTCACTGGAATTGTTTATAGTCTTTTGTTAGACAATGTTGGTAGAACAGTGTCAGTGGTTGGACAACTGAGTGAACCTGTCTCACAAAGGTGACTGCCATTACAAGCCAGTTGGACCAACCACTGCTTAACCTGAGCTAATACAGTGCAGATGTTGTGTGTCAAGTCACAGATCTGCTCTTTGCTTGGTTGAGGACAGGGTTCAGGGATGCTTTGTGTTAAGGGAAGGTTAGGTCTGGAAAAAAGTGTTGCTTATTGTGGGGCTTTAAATATTTATGACGGCATGGCCTGACATCTCCTCTTTGGGGCCAATTAATGGGAGAACATTATTTAACTTGTATACTGAGCTTCCATATGAATGCACTCCCATTCTTTGACATGTTTAGTTTTGTGATAACACAACAGTAGTCGCTTAATATTTTTACTGGTTAAATAGACAATTTTTCTTCATTGATATGTTAACTGCTGGTGAATATGTGCACAAATAACTCTCACAGTCAGTGTAGTTGCTGAGAGAGGTGTGGAGAGGACTGCGTTTCTATTCAAATATAACCTTCAGCGAGCACATTACAGAGAGGTTAACCTATTTTCTGATTCCTGTTAGTTGACAGAATGTTGGTGAACCACACAAACCAAACGGATGACGACCTCTTCTCCTGCTACAGTCCTTCAGTCGTAGGCTACCGGTACTTTGCTGTGGTGTGGGGATGTGCTGTGACCATCACCGGTACAGTGGGGAACCTGATGACCATTCTAGCCTTCTCCTTAGACAAACATCTGAGGACTCGCTTCAATGTACTCATCGTCAACCTGGCTGTAGCTGATCTCCTGTACTGCACCATACTGCAGCCCATCTCAGTCGACTCCTATCTACACCTCAGATGGCGCAGTGGTGAGGTCTGGTGCAGCATTTTTGGCCTGCTCCTCTTCCTCTCCAACTCCGTCTCCATTATCACCCTCTGCCTGATAGCAGTGAGCAGATACCTTCTGGTTGCAAAACGCACTGTGTTTGAACGCGTGTTCTCGGACCGAGGTCTTACTGTCCTCCTGATGTCAGCATGGGCACTAGGCCTGGCCAGCTTCTGCCCGCTCTGGCCTGTTTACACGTTTGTGCCACAGGTGTGCACATGCAGCTTCCACCGTACCAGAGGTCGCCCCTACACCACCATCCTGCTATTTTTCTACTTTTTTATTGGTCTGGGTTGCGTTGGCGCATTTTACCTCCTCATTTACAGACGTGTCCTAATTGCCTCACAGGCTCTGCTCCAATACAAGCTCAGCCGCCGGTCATCCAGAAAGAGACCTGCTCCTTCAGCACAAGAGACAGATGACAGTGGTGTGGAGAGTGGCACAGCCAACACATGTAGCTCTGAGATGAGCAGCCAGGCAGATGTGGTGAGAAATAAGGATGAATCTACACAGAGCTCTGCAAAGACCTTAAGTTCATCAGCAGCCAGCAAACTTCTCCCCAGTACTGCCCCTGCACCACCTTCATCCACACCTGCTGTCACACAGGCAGCATCCTCCTCTCACTCAGCAACTTCAGGAGATGATGGTGAATTTAAACGTGTTACTCGCATGTGTTTCACCGTTTTTCTGTGTTTCATGTTCTGCTTTGTCCCATTCCTGTTGCTCAACATAGCCGACAAACAGAACCGTGCCCCACAGGTGTTGCACATGTTAAGTGCAAACCTCACCTGGCTCAACAGCTGTATCAACCCTGTGCTCTATGCGGTCATGAATCGACAGTTTCGACAGGCCTACCATGTGCTGCTCACCAAAGCCACTGCATCCTTTTCCTGCCTCTGGACCTGGTAAACTTTGCTTCTTAAACTTACAAAATGTCTCTGTTGATGTAAACTCTGACATGCCAATTAAATACAGCAACAAAAAAAGAAAGCCAACCCTTCAGCCATTACTTATGAAACTTTTAAAACACTGATTTGTTTCACTGAAAATAATTAAAGGATATTTTCAAACATTCAAATATTCTATGAGGAAGAATCATCCAAAATTCTTCCTGAATGTTGAGCAGGTCTAATCCATAGATATAGCAAGTGCTTACTTGAGGATGTTGGTGCCAAAGGTGGTTCAACCAGTTATTAAAACGCTGTTGCCATTACTTTTTTCACCATCCCTTTGTATGTTTAATGGGTGTGTTCAATAAAGACATGAAAGGCATGACTGTTTGTGTTTTATCATCTTAGAAATAATGTTTATTGATATTTGTGACTGGTGAAAATCAGATTTCATGACCAATTTATGCAGAAAAGCAGGAAATTTTAAAAGGTCCATTACTTTTTCTTGTGATTGTATATGGAAGTAGCTGAGTTAAGTATTCACAACAAATACTGTAAATAGTGATGTCCACACTGTAGTATACGATATTCACTCTGGTATAATCTGTTACACCCCCAGCCATATTAAAATATTAACATCATTTTCAAACACTGACATTTTATAGTATTGTTCCATTAAAGTTAAACATGACTCCAGTGTGCCTGGAGTTCAGTTACATGCAATTTCAGAAACCCAGAACCAATGTGTAGCTGTGAAAATGTTTTCTGCACTTGTTCTGCAGTTGCAGTTGTAGGATCTGAAACAGGTACTCTACTGCCACTCAGTGGTGAAGATGACAAACTAAACACTAGTTTCAGTGGACGCATATGTGAAATGATGATAAATCAAACTACAGCCCTACAAACTAGGGCTGTGAAATAGAGTAAAATACTAATAGATTTCTTTTTTTTAAATATTAATAACTAGTTGATAACTAGATAATTTTATACCATTAATGAAGAAGGACACGTTTTAAAATTTTTTGTTAGACCTCATGGATACACACATTGTTCCGTAGTAACACTGAATGTACATACAACTATTGTTGGTTTGCAAGAAAACAGCAGAGGGCACCTTATAATTTTAAGTTCAAGAAGCTGTTTATGATTGAATTCTAAATAAATCAGTCTTTTATGGGCTTGAGCTATCATTTTTAATCAATTTCTTAATACTCTCCAACCAAGATGATGGAACATTTACTCTTGAACCAGGCAATATGAACCATGCCTTTAAATGAAAAGCAAACAATAAATCAACATGTCATGCTACAGAGATTGGCCACTGGCACAGGAAATTGTATTTACTTTTATGTGCCAGATAAAACAAAATTGATTTACTTTACTAAAATCTACTTTTTGTGGGGTTTATATATAGAGTATTGACTGAAAAGGGAGACAGAAGCAACTGCTGGGGTTTAAAGTGAAGTTACCACAAAAGACATTTTCTGAGCCTTGCTGCTGCTGCTTTAATAATAATAATAATTAAAATAATAATAAAA